ATTGATAGTCAGTGGTTTCTCTCAATAACCAGACCCCCAGTGGAGACACTGAATACTTTAAATACTCTTGTAAAAGGGGATGCCCTGGCAAGTGAAAATCAACCTTGACTGGTGGACATTTAATGAGGAGGTGGGCTTTTATTAAGTGTTTAGTAAATTGCCGTGACTCTCCCATATTCACCTTGGAACAACCATAAAATAGCTCCCCAGAATAAATCTTGGAGCAGTAGAGCCAGTGGAAAGATGGGGTGGAGCAGTCTTTTAGCCCAAGAAACTTGGAGGAGCAGCAAAAAAGGTTGGTCTCTCAGGTAAAAGGAGCATATTCCAGAACAGGAAGCATTCCAGAAAGCTAAAAGCAAGCACCACCTCAGTAAAACAGTGGAAGGTCCTGAGTCCTAGGGTGGTGGAGCAGGCAAACGCTATCAAGAACCCCCAGATGTCTTAGCATAGTCAGGGGAACCTGCAGATCCCAGCTCAGAGAATTACCACATGCTTCAGTGCAGCCTCAGGTAAGCAGGTGCTCTCTAGCAGCTAGAATTCCAGGTGATTCAGCACATTCCAGGGCAAACAGGCAATATTCAAGAGCCAGACCTCCATGTGCTACACTGCCCTGGGGAAATGCAGGAAAACCCCACCTGCACTCAGCACTGGATAGATACCACAACTAGGAACCCAGCTCAGCACAAGGTAAGCTGCCAGCACCCAAGGCCCCAGTGCACAAAGCCAGTGACTAGGCCCCTGGAACCCGGCACAAGAAGTTAGGGACAGTGCCCCTTGTGCTCCAGCAGGAGAGCTCAACTTTAAAAGCCAGGAAATAGGCAAAAAAAAGTTGACCAAAAAGCAAAAATGAACATTGACCATAGAGAGTCACTATGTTGACAGGGAAGATCAAAACACAAACTCAGAAGAGGACAATATTGTCGATATACCTACATCCAAAGTTCAATTTATTTTTCTGAAATGGGATTATTCAAGTATTTTATTTCCTCTTCCATTAATCTGGGCAATTTATATTTTTTGTAAATATTCATCCATTTCACTAAGATTGTTAATTTATCAGCATACAGTTGGGCAAAATTGCTCCTAATTATTGTTTTGATTTCCTCTTTACTGGTGGTGAATTCAACCTTTTCATTTTTGATACTGGTAATTTGTTTTTTTTAATTAAATTACCCAAAGGTTTATCTATTTTTCTTTTCATAAAACCAGGTCTTAATTTTATTTATTAGTTCAATAGTTTTCTTAATTTCTCCTTTCGTTTTTCAGAATTTCTGATTTGGTATTTCATTGGGGATTTTTAATTTGTCCTTTTTCTAGCTTTTGTAGTTGCATGCCCAATTCACTGATCCTCTCTTTCTCTATTTTATTCAAGTAAACATTTAGAGATATAAAACTTCCCCTAAGAACCGCTTTCACTGCATCCCATAAATTTTGGTATGTTGTCTCATTACTGTCATTCTCTTGGATGAAGTTATTGTCTCTGTGATTTGTTGTTTTACCCACTCATTCTTTAGGATTAGCTTATTCAGTTTCCAATTAATTTTTAGTTTGTCTTTCCATGGCCCTTTATTACATGTCATTTTTGTTGCATCATGATTTGAAAAGGGTGTATGTAATCTTTCTGCATTGGATTATGAGGTTTTTATGCTCTAATGAATGATCACTTTTTGTGTAGGTGGCCTGTACTGCTGAGAAAAGGTATATTCCTTTCTATCCCCATTTAGTTTTCTCCAGAGGCCAACCATATCTAACTTTTCTAAAATTCTATTCACCTCTTATTAACTTCTTTCTTATTTTGTGGTTAGAGTAATCTAGTTCTGAGAGGGGGAGAGCAAGGTCCCACACTAGTATAGTTTTGCCATCTATTTCTTCTTGTAACTCCCTTAACTTCTCCTCTAAGAATCTGGAAGCTATATCACTTATTGCATATATGTTTAATAATGATAATACTTCATTCTCTATGGTACTTTTTAGCAGGATATAGTTTCCTTCCTTATCTATTTTAATTAGATCTAGTTTTGCTTTCACCTTGTCTGAGATCAGGATTGCTACCCTTTTTTTTTTTAAATTTCAGTTGAAATACACTCTAGCCTTTCACTTTTACTCTGTGTGTATCCCTCTGCTTCAAATATATTTCTTGCAAACAACATATTGTAGGATTCTGGTTTTTCATCCACTCTGCTCTTTGCTTCCATTTTATCGTTGAGTTCATCGCATTCACATTCAGTTACGGTTACTATCTGTGTCTTTCTCTCCATCCTATTACCCCCATCCCCATTCACACTTTTCTCTCTCCTTTCTCCTTTTCCTTCCTCACTAGTTTTGCTTTTGACTACCACCTTCCTCAGTCTGCCCTCCCTTCTATCCATCCTGATCCTTTTCTTCCCCTTTATCCTTACTATTCCTTCCCAACCTTCTATCTACCCCTCCTTTTCTTTCTCTTTTCCCTTCCTACTTCCTATAGGATGTTGAGTATGTTATTGCCTCTTTGAGCCAAACCTGATGAGAGTAAGGCTTAAACAATGTTCATCTCCCTTCATTCTTTCCCTCTGTTGTAATAGGTTTTTGTGCCTTTTGACGTGATGCAATTTGCCCTTGTCTGCCTCCTCCTTTCCTCTTTTTCCCCCGAACAATCCCTTTTCACCACTTAGATCTTCTTTATCATCACATCAAAGTCAACTTATACTCACGCCCCCTATGTATACCCCTCTTAAATGTCAAAATAACCATACAGTTCTCAAGAGTTATAAATGTCATCTTCCTTTGTAGGAATGAGTTTGCCCTTATTAATAACATGTTGTTATTTTTCTTTCTTGTTTATCTTTTTATACCTCTCTTGAATTTTTGAATATTTGAAGATCAAATTTTCTGTTGAGATCTGGTCTTTTAATCAGGAAGGTTTGGAAGTCCACTATTTCATTGAATATACATCTCCTGCCCTGAAAGATTATGCCCAATTTTGCTGGCTAGTTGATCCTTGGTTGTAATCCGAGATCTTCTGCCTTGTGGAATACTGTATTCCATGCCCTCTGATCTTATAATGTAGAAGGTGCAATGTCCTGCATAATCCTGACTGTGGTTCCATATTTAAATTGTGGCTGCTTGCAGTATTTTCTCTTTGACCTGGTAATTTTGAAATTTGGCTGCAATATTCCTTGGTGTTTTCAATTTGAGGTCTCTTTTAGGAGATAATCAGTGGATTCTTTTGATGACTATTTTACCTTTTAGTTCTGGGACCTGAGGGCAGACCAATAATTTTTAAATTATCTCTCCTGGATCTATTTCCCAGGTTAGTTGTTTTACCAATGAGGTATTTTACATTTTCTTGTATTTTTTCATTCTTTTGTTTCTGTTTGACTGATTCTTGATGTCTCATAGAGTTATTATCTTCTACTTGCCTAATTCTAATTTTTAACAAACTGTTTTCTTCTATTAGATTTTGTACCTCCTTTTTCCATTTGGCCCATTTTAGTTTTTAAGGAGCTCTTCTCTTCAGTGAGTTTTTGTGCCTCCTTTTCCTTTTGTCCAGTTCTACTTTTTAAGGACTTGTTTTATTCAGGGTACTTTTTTCCCATTTGGTCTATTATATTTTTACAGGACTTGTTTTCTATAGTCAATTTTTGTCCTTCCTTTTCCAAGCTATTGACTCTCTCGTTACATCTCATTTCTTTTCCCAATTTTTGTTCTACTTTTCTTATATGACTTTTAAAATCCTTCTTGAGTTCTTCCAAGAAGGCCTTTTGGGTTGGAGAACAATTCATATTCCCGTTTGAGGCTTCAGATGTGGGTATATCGACAATATTGTCCTCTTCTGAATTTGTGCGTTGATCTTCCCTGTCCCTATAATAAGAGTCTATGGTCACTGTCCACTTCTGCTTTTTGCTCATGGTGTTTGCCTATTTGAGCTCTCTTGCTGGAATGCAGGAGGCATGGATCCAAATTTCTTGTGCTGGGAGCCCAGGACCTGGTCACTGGCTTTGTGTGCTGGGGCCTCCAGTGCTGGCAGCTGGAGGCTATAGCTTCCTGGTGCTGAACTGGGGTCAGCAACACTGGGGTTATCATGGTGGTGGTGTGGAATCCGGCTCTTGGATGACTCTTGCTCACCCAGGCTTCTTTAAAGTACTTGAATGTTTGGTTGCTGGAGGATGTCTGCCAGCCTGGAGCTGTGCCTCCTGGAGTCGTGCTGAAGCACCAGGAGATGAGGGGCATCTCCTCAGTTTCAAATTTGTTGCTACCACAAAAAGAGTTGCTATGAATTTTATACAAATGGATACCTTTCTCTTTCTTTCATCTCTTTGTGATATAAAGTTAGAAGCTGTACTGCTGGGTCAAAGGTTATGCATAGTTTAATAATGTTAGGCATAATTAATTACAAATTCTTTTCCAGAATGATTGCAGCAGCTTATAATTCCAATGGTGCTTAGAGATATCTCTGAGATCATTCTTACAGCTAAAACATTGTCAATTATTATTTACGTCTTTATTATTATTGATTTGATTACTAATAACATATTCAATAACTTTAAGATATGTTTAACTCTAAGAGACTGGGAGTTTTAATATGTAGAATTAAGAACAACTACTCATAGGAAGAAACATTTCTTTAGTTAATTAAATAATATTTGATGGACTAGGGTGGGGCATTTGAGCTTAGCTGATTGATTTTAAAATGACATTAATTAATGAGGAAAAATCCAAATAAACCCCTAGACTGCCTTAAAATTTGAGATGATGAGATTAAATATTAGAATGAATCAAGTAAGGCTTGAGGGTTAACCTATAAATAGAAGTGATCAACCTCAGACTACCCTGCCCCTTCTAATCTTGTTACATACAAATTGCACATAGAGATATTATAGAGATCATTTAAGATAATTTTGTGAAATTGTCTAACTCTACAAACTACAGAGCTACTACTGTGAGGCATTAAGTTACTATTGGTAATAGAGGGAAAAGTACAAAAAGTGAGAAAGTCAACATAAAGAATGATTAGATACAAGTTTTAGATTAGACACATGATATCAGTTTTAAAAGTTTAATTGGAGTCATAACTGCTTATACAACATTTTGACAGCAAAGTTTACTACTCATAATAAGGACATCACAAATACATACAATTTAAAAACATAAATACTTGATTTATTAATTTGGTTTTTCTATTTCTTTTGGTAGCTTCTCAAGAACCCAAGACTTTAATTTTTCTAGCTCACTTCTGCTTAGCTCATGATAAAGATTTGGAAAGCTATGAAATGTTGTGCTTACTCCCAATGATTTCAAAATTGAATTTGTCTCTTCACCCCATGAATGAAGAACTAACTCATCAGTAGTGCCATGGCACTGAAATAATTCAGGAAGTGTACCTTCATTCTTTTGAAGAGCCTAGTGAGAAGGAAGGAAAAAAAGAAGTTCTATATCAACAATTTAATTAACTATCACCCATGAACAGGACAAAGATGGCTTAGAAACTGAGGGGTTAGCATAAAATTCTGATCTTCTTAAAGCTACATCATTAAGAAAATAGCTAAGGTGAAGAAGATACAGTAAAACTGTCTTAGATTCAAGTTTCTCACAAGAGCACCAGGATCAGGCGTTGGCTAACGGGTTGGCAGAACTCCTAAAGTTCACATGGCCTAATCACCTAGAAGCTGAAGAAGTGACTCATGTACGCTCTCTATTAATGGAATCAAGGAGATAATATGGCGTACCTACTTTAGCGGTTAAGAGTGGAGAACCACAGTCCCTTTTTCCTGAAGGGGAAGAATGGATTGCCTGACCAAGGTAAAGGACAGAGAAGAAGATGGAAGGATAAGGGAATTTATATGCTTGAATGAATTGCTATGCCTCCTATGTAGTATCTACTCTCGATAAAGAAGTATCTACTAATAAATTCCTCCAACACTTCAACAGAAAAAAAAATTGCTGTTGAAAAATTTTATAAATGACAAGCTGCCATGTAGCTTGTTCATGATACACTGTACAAAATTTGACATAACTTTGTCACATACATACATACATATATATATACATATACATATACATATACATATATATATACATATACATATATATATGTATATATATACATATACATATACATATACATATATATGTGTGTATATATATATACATATACATATATATGTGTGTATATATACATATATATGTGTGTATATATATATATATATATATATATATATATATATATATATATAGCATATTCATATGCTTTGCCACAGAGAGTGCAGTGGGATTTACAAATCTTTTCCCTCAAATGTTTTACTTAATAATGTTTTCAGTATTTTTATTATCAATTGGCCACAATCCACCAACTTCACAATTATCATTAATCCCCAGAAAATGCTGTGTAGTTCAGTTATTATTGTTGTTAAATTATCTTTTTTTTTAGCAGCAATCTACATATGCTGTACAAAGTATTTTTTTAAGTTTGTAACTTACCTGATAAACAGCAGATGTTTTATTGAGAAAACTAGAAAGTACAAATACTCCAGCTAAATCATGATGCTTCCTAAATGCTAAATGCAGTGCCATGCATCCACCCATTGAAAATCCTCCTAGAGGAAACAAATTATATTAGTCTAAGCAGTAATTAAAACAAAAGTCCAAATCACTTACATAAAATATTAGAACATCACCTGTATCTTCACATACAAATGCTTAAAGACCTTTAAAGCAGCCTAGAGCTAAAAAGTATCCTAAAACTCAATGCAAGGCTTTGTAAAATTTTATCAAATAGAAGTTAACCTGTTCCAGTGAATCTTTCACACTTTGTAAAATCAATTTACTGTAATGAGTTATCTGTTTATTGTTTGTGTTGTTCACATAAATAGAAAAACAAAGTCATTAAGAAAAAGTCTATGTCATTTTCTTTTTAGTACTTCAAACAGGCACTATTTAGTAAAATAAATACGGAAAGAATATATCATTAGGATAGTTGAGCAGCTTGAGATGCTTTTCTGTGTTTTTTTTTTTTAAAGTCATAGCCAGGTGTTTATCTAACACTGCCACGATACTCTCTTCTCTAGGGATAAAATCTAAGAAGAGAAGGGCTATTTATTTCAAAGCCCACTTAAGTTTTGAACTTTCATTAAAACTTTCAACCAGTGTCCTAACGAGACATTAATTTGAAGGTCGAGTATATTTGGTTTATCAGCCAAGTTGGAACTACTTATTCATTTAATTCTCATAACTAAAATGAAGATGATGAGGTCATATATCACTAGTATAATTAAGATTGTAATAAAGACTTCTGAGAGCCAAGATGGCAGAGCAAGCAGTAAGTCGTTATCACTCCGCCTTTATTAACATCTAAAAACCCAGAAAATATTGTCCCAGGAAAAATCCTGGAACACCATGGAGCCAGCAGAAAGATGGGCGCAGTACTCTTTTAGCCTGTGAGGCCTGGGGAATTAACTGGAAAGGTCCCTCTTGCTCTGGTGGAAAGGGACCAGTATAGGATGGGAAGCCTCACGGAAAGCCAGTGGCAAGCCACACCTCAGCAAACCAGCAGGAGATTCTGAGCCCTAGGCTGGTGGAGCAGGAAAGTGACAACACCAGAACCTCTGTGTGCCTTGGCATAGCCAGGAGAACCATCAGACTACCTCAGAGAACCAACATGTGCACTGACAAACACGCATCCTCTAGCAACTGAACCTCCCTGTGCTTCAGTACAGCTCTAGGCTGGCAGGCAACCTCCATGGCCCAGATCCCATGCCCCTGAGAGCTTCAGTGTAGCACAGAGGAAATGCAGCAAAAACACACCTGGACTCAGCACATGACAAACACCACCACTAGCAGCTGTTAGACCCCTACAGCCTCCAGCTGCCAGCACCTTAGGCCCCAGTGCACAAATGCAGTGACAAGAAGCACTGGACAGCGCCCCCTGTGCTCCTGCAGGAGAGCTCAACTTTAAAAACCAGGAAATAGGCAAACATCGTGAACAAAAAGCAGAAACAGACAATAGTAACAGATTCTTACTACAGGGACAGGGAAGATTAAAAACACAAATTCAAAAGAGGACAACATTGTCAAGATACTCACATCTGAAACCTCAAAGGGGAATATGAATATGCCTCAAGCCCAAAAAGCCTTCTTGGAAGAGCTCAAGAAAAATTTTAAAAGTCAAATAAGAGAAGTAGAAGAAAAATTGGGAAAAGAAATGAGAGGTATGCAAGAAAGAGTGAACAGCTTGGAAAAGGAAGGACAAAAATTGACTGTACAAAACAATGCCCTAAAAATTACAATTGGCCAAATGGAAAAGGAGGCACAAAAGCTAACTGAATAAAATAATTCATTAAAAACTAGAATTGGGCAAGTGGAAGCTAATGAGTTTAGGAGTCATCAAGAATCAGTTGAACAAAATTGAAAGAATAGATAACATAAAATATCTCATTGGAAAAACAACTGACCTGGAAAGTAGATCTAGGGGAAAAAAATAAGAATTATTGGTCTACCTGAAAACCATGATTAAAAAAAAAAAAAGCCTGGACAGCATCTTTCAAGAAATCATCAAGGAAAACTGCCCCGAGGTCCTAGAACCAGAGGGTAAAACAGTCATCAAAAGAATCCAAAAATCACCTCCTGAAAGAGATCCCAGAAAGAAAATGTCAAGGAATATTGTAGCCAAATTTCAGAATTATCAGGTTAAGGAGAAAATACTGCAGGCAGCCAGAAAGAAACAATTTAAATATCGTGGAATTACAGTTAGGATTATGCAGGACCATGTAGCTTCTACAAGGGCTTGGAATATGATATTCCATAAAGCAAAGGCGCTTGGATTACAACCAAGGAGCAACTAGCCAGCAAAATTGAGCATAATCTTCCAGGGGAGCAGATGGACATTCAATGAAATAGGGGACTTCCAAACCTTCCTGATGAAAAGACCAGAGCTCAACAGAAAATCTGATCTTCAAATACAAGACTCAAGAGAGGCATAAAAAGGTAATCAGGAAAGAAAAAAGAAAACATGTTATTCAATAAGGGCAAAGTGCTTACAACCCAACATGGGAAGATGACATCTGTAACTCTTGAGAAATGTATCTTTATCATGACACTCAGAAGGGGTATACATAGATAGAGAGCTTGAGTATAAGTTGACTTAGATGTGATGATAAAAAATCTAAGAGGTGAAAAGGCATTATACTGGGAAAAGAGGAAAGGAGGAGGCAGAAAAGGGTAAATTATATTACATGAAGAGGAACAAAGACCTATTACAATAGAGGGAAAGAAGGAAGGGAGACGAACATTGGTTGAACCTTACTTTCATCAGATTTGGCTCAAAAACGGAATAGCATAATCAGTTACTTACAGAAACCTAACTTACTTTATGGGAAGGAGGGGGAAGGGGAAATTAAAGGGAGGGGTTAAATAGAAGGGAGGGCAGACTGAGGGAAGCGGTGGTCAGAAGCAAAACACCAGTGAGGAGTGAAAGAGAGAAAAGGAGAAGGAAAAGCATAAAAGGGGGGAACACAGGATGCAGAGAAAGACACAGTAATCATAACTATGAATGTGAATTGGATGAATTCAACCATAATATGGAAGCGAAGAGCAGAGTGGATTAAAAAACAGAATCCTACAATATGTTGTTTACAAGAAATACATTTGAAGCAGAGGGATACACATGAGTAAAAGTGAAAGGCTGGAGAAGAATATATTATATTTCAACTGAAATTAAAAAAAAAAAGCAGAGGTAGCAATCCTGATCTCAGACAAGGCAAAAGCAAAACTAGATCTAATTAAAATAGATAAGGAAGGAAACTATATCCTGCTAAAAAAGTACCATAGACAATGAAATAATATCATTATTCAACATATATACAATAAGTGGTATAGCATTTAGATTCTTACAGAAGTTAAGGGAGTTACAAGAAGAAATAGATGGCAAAACTATGTTAGTGTGGGACCTCAATCTCCCTCTCTCAGAATCAGATTAACCTAACCACAAAATAAATAAGAAAAGAGTTAAGGAGGTGAATAGAATTTTAGGAAAGTTAGATATGGTTGACCTCTGGAGAAAACTAAATGGAGATAGAAAGGAATATACCTTTTCTCAGCAGTACAGGCCACCTACACAAAAAGTGATCATTCATTAGAGCATAAAAACCTCACAATCCAATGCAGAAAGATTACATACACCCTTTTCAAATCATGATGCAATAAAAATGACATGTAATAAAGGGCCATGGAAAGACAGACTAAAAATTAATTGGAAACTAAATAAGCTAATCCTAAAGAATGAGTGGGTCAAACAACAAATCACAGAGACAATCAATAACTTCATCCAAGAGAATGACAATAATGAGACACCATACCAAAATTTATGGGATGCAGTGACAGTGGTTCTTGGGAGAAGTTTTATATCTTTAAATGCTTACATAAATAAAATAAAGAAAGAGGAGATCAATGAACTGGGCATGCAACTACAAAAGCTAGAAAAAGAACAAATTAAAAATCCCCAATGAAATACCAAATCAGAAATTCTGAAAAACCAAAGGAGAAATTAAGAAAACTGAAATTAAGAAAACTATTGAACTAATAAATAAAACTAAGACCTGGTTTTATGGGGGGAAAAAAACACAATAAAATAGATAAACCTTTGGGTAATTTGATTAAAAAAAAAGAAGAAAACCAAATTACCAGTATCAAAAATGAAAAAGATGAATTCACCACCCAGAGAAAATTAAAACAATAATTAGGAGTGATTTTGCCCAATTGTATGCCAATACATTTGACAATCTTAGTGAAATGGATGAATATTTACAAAAATATAAATTGCCCAGATTAATGGAAGAAGAAATAAAATACTTAAATAACCCCATTTCAGAAAAAAGAAATTGAACAAGCCATCAGTGGAACTCCCTAAGAAAAAATCTCCAGGGCCAGACAAACTTATAAGTGAATTCTATCAAATATTTAAAGAACAATTAATTCCAATACTATATACACTATTTGGAAAAACAGACAAAGTAGGAGTCCTACCAAATTCTTTTCATGATACAAATATAGTGCTAATACCTAAACCAGGAAGAGTCAAAACAGAGAAAGAAAATTACAGAACAATTTCCCTAATGAATATAGATGCAAAAATTAAAAAAAAAATAGTAAAGAGATTACAAAAATTTATCAGGAGGATAATACATTATGACCTAGTAGGATTTATACAAGGAATGCAGTCCTGATTCAATATCAGGAAAACTATCAGTATAACTGACCATATCAACAACAAAACTAACAAATCATATGATTATCTCCATAAATGCAGAAAAAAGTCTTTGACAAAATACAACATCCATTCCTATTAAAAACATTGGAGAGAATAGGAATGAATGTGGAGTCTTCCTTAAAATGATAAGTAGCATCTAGCAAAAACCATCAGCAAGCATTATAGGTAATGGGGTAAGCCTGAACACTTCCACTAAGATTAGGGGTGAAAGAAAAAAAGCGTAGGGCAGCTAGGTGGCACAGCTGATAGAGCACCAGCCCTGGATTTAGGAGGACCCAAGTTCAAATCCAGCCTCAGACACATAACACTAGTTGTGTGACCCTGGGCAAGTCA